CAATGCGCGCGCATCATCTTGGATTGGCCCGTGGTGAAACCGCCGCCGATAAATACTCAATTAATATATATATATATACGCTAGGCGCAAAATTTATCGCAGTATGAATTTCCAGAGAGAAGGTAGGGGGGAGGAACGAACGATCGTCTTGCGTAACCAAGGAGATTATCTCGAGCGTGCGATCCACGATGTTCGTTTTCTTTATTCGCGTGGACGCAGAGAAAGAGAGAAAGAGGAGGAGAAGAAAGATTCGATAAAATTTCTATGTAGAGTATCCGTGAATGAGTAACGTGTACGTTATTTTAAGCGTTATTTATCGCGATTGTAAATCTGCGAGATAACCGATGCTGTGTAAGTAGCAGGTTTCGGATTTTTGAATCTGGTGTAATTTATAATCGATGCGATTATAATTGTCAAGGGTATTTTATTTTATTTTATTTTATTTTTCTTTGGTTGGAACATTTGCGCTTGGTTATTCTTATGGAAATATGATTTTTATTCGATTTTTTTAGAATTTATTTTAATAAATAATGTTAGAATTGTGTAGAATTATCGCGTAAAATTTATTTTAATAATTGTATCGCATTATTTTGCTAACAACGTATCGCTAATGAGAGAGAGATAGGGATAAAGGAAATAGAGTATGATCCTCTAGAGGCCCCCGAAAGCGTTGCCTTTACCCTTTCGACCGTAATATATCGATATCAAAGGTATACCGATATCGGCGTATCGCTTAAATTAGCAGAGATAATTAAATAATAATCTAAAATTATATTCTACGTAAAATATCTATTTTTAATATCTGTCCCAATTATTTATTTATTACAAAGATAATACTTGTTTTAATCAAGAATATTATTTAAAATCAACAGAAGCAAAATTTCTATATTAAAATCCAAAACTAGATCATAATTCATAAAATAATAAAAAAAATATTATATTTAAATCTCTTAAAAAAAAATCTCAAGAAAAGTGGAACATTGTATATTAAAATTGAAATTCGAAAGAAGATCTGTTTTATTCTATATTTCGATACGAATTCATATCAATTGAATACTAAATTCCAAAAAATCACAATTCGAAAATAATTGAAAAAAATACTAATACCTTAAAAATCAACAAAAAAGTAGACTTTTCTAATATTTTAATATTACGATTTCATAAATCGATTCGATTCGATATCGAGATCATTTTCTCGACCCTTTAAAAATTTGCGCCCAAAATCTCAATTTCAGTCGAATTCCACTTTCCACGACTTCGAAACCCGAAAACCCGAGAATCCGGGCGAAAGGAATTCTGTAACTAATCGAGATTCTGTTTCCATTTCCAGGCGTGTATACGGTCCAGGGCCACGGGATTCACAGCCACGAGATAGCGATACCGCGAAAAGTGAGCGAGCGAGGCGTGCTTATTTCGCACAACGTGACCCATCACCATCACGAGGATGGGCCAG